AAGGGCTTAGGTGTCTATTCACATGGAAAAGTAAAAATAGAAATGGATCAGATGCCTTCATAGGTGGAGATACAGATGAAGAGCAGAGCAAAGGTAGCATGTGGATATATGTAGATGCTCTTGTATTACAATTTTATCAAATTGGAGCTCTAAATCTATTTTTGAATTTTTGGTAGCCATGTCAGAGTGTTAGACAAACAATGCTTTTAAAGGTCAACACTGATGAGATGATTACGCAAACTGATACCTCATAGAATGTTAAGACATTTTAAGTTCAAAAAAAATCTGTTTTTCTTTTTTTTTTTAATTTTTTTTAACATTTATTTATTTTTGAGACAGAGAGAGAGCATGAACAGGGGAGGGTCAGAGAAAGAGGGAGACAGAATCTGAAACAGGCTCCAGGCTCTGAGCTGTCAGCACAGAGCCCAACGCGGGGCTCGAACCCACGGACCGCGAGATCATGACCTGAGCCGAAGTCAGACGCTTAACCGACTGAGCTACCCAGGCACCTCCCAAAAAATCTGTTTTTCGAGTAGGTGATTTAGTTAACAATTTGTCAGTAATAACTCTAAAATAATATAGAACATTGTCTCTACTTGTTCTTCAGTAAAAGTAGAAGACATAATGCTAAATGCGAACTTGGTCAATTCTGTTTTCCAGAAATTCAAACATAAGAGTTGAATAAGACATTTTTTCTGATGAATCAACTGAATATCCTTAAAATTACTGTCCATAAATATTTTGAGTACCCTTGGTATTTGGATTGCTCAGCAGACAACTTAAAATTGTGTTCTGTTTCAAATGTTTAAATACTTTCTATTCACACTTGGTTTCTCTCCCACTTGCCTATCATATCCAGTGACCAGAGACTTGACTGTAATCACATCCTTGAGTCTTGTCAAGTCCTTTCTTTACCTGACTTTTCTGAGCACTTGTCTCTGCTTCTCACTCTGCCCTTCTGGAAAATTTCTTTGTTAGTGTCTGTGACACCCTCCGCTGGCTTTTTCCTTCCCCTGCTGCTATCTTTGTGGAGTCATCTACTTTCCCTTGTACTTTCATGTGGCTCATCCCCCATTTTTGTCCTTGGCCTTTAATCTGCTCTATTATCTTGGTATGGTTTTATTCTCTTTATTTTTTTCTAAACTTTATTGAGATTCAGTTCATATACCATGCCATTCACCCATTTTAAGTGTAGAATTCAATGGTGTTTTAGTGTAAATGTGCAGATATCACCACACTCAATTTGAAAATACTTTCATCACCTTAAAAAGCACCTCTACATTTTATCCCTTCTCATCTGCTCATTTGCCTCCAAGCCCCAAGCAACCACTAATCTATTTTCTGTCTGTATAGATTTGCTGACTCTATTATTTCTTGTAGGAGGGTTCTGCCTATGACAAATTTTGTTTTTGTTTATCTAGGAGGGTTTTAATTTTTCTATTTTTACTAGTTATATAATTCTTGGTTGACAACTTTTTTTCTTTCAGCATTTGTCATACATCATTTCATTACCTTCTGTCCTCCATGGTTTCTGATTAGTAATCTGTTTTTAATACTGTTGTACATGATGAGTCACTTCTTTCTTGCTACTTTCAGTATTGTCTCTTTGTCTTTGTATTTGACAGTTTGATTTCCATGTGTTTAGGTGTGGATCTCGCACTCTAAATTTATCCTACTTGAAGTTTGTTGAGCTTCTTGGATTTGTAGATTAATGTTTATCATGAAATTTGGAGACTTCTTGGCCATTGTTTCTTCAAATATTCTTTCAGACTTTCTGTTTGGGACTCATGCATATGTTGGTAAGCTTATTGCTATCCCATATTTCATTTTCTGTCATTATTTTTTCTTTGTTTCTCACACTACATAATTTCAGTGGGCATATTGTCCACTTTGTTCATTCTTTCTTTCAGCTGCTCAAATCTGCTGTTGAACCCCTCTGGTGAAATTTTGATTTAGTTCTTATATTTTTCAACTCTTGAGTTTCTATATAATTTGTATTTGTTATATTTCTATCTCTTTATTGATATTCTTTATTTAGTGAAATTTTTTTTATATTTTCCTTTAGTCCTTGGACATTGTTTTCTCTAGGTATTTGACCATATTTAAAATAGCTGATGTAAAGTTATTGCCTGGTAAGTCTAATGTCTGCTTCCTTAGGAGTAGTTTCTATTAATTATACCTTTTCTGCATATATGTCTTTCTTTCTTTTCTTGTTTACTAATATTTTTGTTGCAAATTGGACATTTTAAATAAAATAATGTGACAACTCTAGAATTTCTCCTCTCCATAGGGGTCATTGTCAAAATTTATTTTGTTCAGTGACTTTTTAAAAAATTCTGTAGAGCCTGTGTTTCTTGTCATCTGAGGCAGCTAAAGTTGTCTACAGAAATTTCTTTAAATGCCTAGAACCAGTAAATTTTCCAGTCTTTGCTAAGGAGATCTGTGCATGTTTGGGAATTCCTTCTACAGTCAGACAGGCAGTTAATAACTCTGCATTAGCCTACACTTCCTTCTAATGCCAAACTCAGAGTCACCTAGAATTGACAGCTTAGACCCTTCTCACATCTTTCCTGAGCATACTCACAGCCTTGGGTGTATGCACAGCTCTGTGCAAGTATATGACCTCCTAGATTTCAGGAATATATCAGAGCTTTTCAAAACATTTATGGACATCTCATTATCCAGCTTTTCCTTTCAAGCTTCTTAATTAAGCCATTAATTGCCCCAGCTGTTATCTACCACCTCAGATAGCCATTAAGTTAAACAAATGCCTTTAGTTGTTGTTGTATTTAATGTTTATTTATCTTGAGAGAGAGAAAGCATGTGCATGTGGGAGGAGCAGGGAGAGAGGTAAAGAGAGAATTCCAAGCAGGCACCATGCTGTTTGCACAGAGCCATTACAGAGCTCAATCCCACAAATTGTGAGATCATGACCTGAGCCGATACCAAGAGTCGGACACTTAACCAACTGAGCCACCCAGGTGCCCTGCCTTTAGTTGTTTTTGACAAATGCCTGGGAGAATAAGGCTTTTCACGCTCTGAGCTAGCTCAAATAAAGGCATCCTGATAAGCAGGGTCTTTTAGGAAACCACCAAACAGGTCAAATAATGACAGTTTTCTATGAATGAGGCTTTGATGGATCTCCAACCCAGTTCTGCTGTTGTTGTGGTTGCCAGGCTTCTGGTTGCAGACCATTGGTTCTCAAACTACTGCAGAGTTGGGAGAGAGAGGGATGGGAACAGGGTAAGTTAAAAGGATATGGATCAGCATCCTTACTATGATTCCGCTGGTTTTTTTTAATGTTTTGAAGATAGCCTTTGTTAATTTCTATAATTTTGCCAGTTTTTTCATTGTTATTTATGGGCAAGAGAAATTTCTTAGATCCTTACTTCAACGTTTATATTTACATCACTTGTTAGCTTATTTTTTTTTTAATCCAAGTGATTTCATTAAGTCAGATAGTAAAGAGATTGGCAAAATGAAAGCAATGCCACTTTTCTCACTAATTTTTTTAGTTTTGGAGGATATAATTAAAAATTTTTTTAGATTAAATTTTATGAGGGGTATTCCTGTTCTTTTGTTTGTTTTAGTTACCAGCTACTGAGTTTCACACACAGGAGGTACTCACTTAGTAATACCGAAGACATGAATGAACAAATAATTGGATACATAACACTGGGGGGAAAAAACTTGCTTCTATCCTATTATTTCTTAGTCTTTTTCTTTTTCTTTCCTATTTATAATTGTGATAAGAACACTTACATGAGATCTACTCTCTTAGCACATTTTTTATGTGTATAGTACAATACTGTTAACTATAGGTGAGCTACACAGCAGATCTCTAGAACTTAATGACTTTGCATAACTGAAACTTTTTACCAATTGAACAGCAACTCCCCAATTTCCCCTCCTCCCAGCCCCTTTGAAGTGCTTTGTTGTGGAAATTTTCCCTTTTCTCATTTTCTAAGATTCTACCCTTTCCTGACTCTTACTACTTTTCAGAAAACTTTTTATTTAGCTTTGTGGCCTATACTTTATTTGCCACCCTCTTTAATATTCAGGCTTCCTCAAATACTGTTTGGTATTTTTCTTTCCTCAGTCCCATATGGGATGCATAGCAAGCATATAGCTCAAATTGTTGTCTGTTTGCCTCTTAAAATTTTAGGTACAACCCAAATTGCTATTAAGTCCTAAATTCTTGCCGTCATTTTAGACCTCGCTTCTGTGTTCTAAAACCATGTGTATACTAGTTTAAGAGATAGGTCCAGTTTTATGTTCACAGACCCTTCAAGAACAACATGAACAGATCTGTTCACTAAAACTTCTAACATTTATTTTCCTTTTGTTTTCTAAATGTCAGTGTTTAGCATCAACATTCCAGAAGCTGCTTGTATGGTTAGACTAGGTGGTTGCACAAGAAGGTAGTTATCAAATTGGTTGTTGCTGCTGCCCTGTGATTATATCCCTATCATTATATTCATTGTTGTTACTTCAGTTAAAATAATGTTCTCTTATATTGCTCTCTATGGTTCCAACTCCCTGGTAAGTTGTTCTTTGCTCTTCATGAACTCTAGATTTATGTTATCTTTATGTATTTATACCTAAGTTTGATTGTGTAAAATATTTTCACAGCTTACATGTTATCTCTTCTTTGTCTCTCATTATTTACAATGATGATGCATGAAGAGGGAATGAACATCTTAGAATTCTCTAAATACCCACGGTAATCACTTGGGATGTAGAGGAAGAATTGTAGGAAGCCTCTATACATTGAATTTTTTTGTCTTAAAAAAATCTATGGTTTATAAACAGATATAAATGAATTATAGTAAGTTAAAAATCTTGATAACTGAATAACTCCACAAAGACAAAATTAGGTCAGAAATAGATGCCTTTTAAACCATTTGTTTTAAAGCCTAAAAGTAAACAGGAAAAATAGTAATTCTCAAAGATACTTTCTTTTCACTTAATTCTGAATCCGTGAATAAAATGTATTGTCACAGGGGTCTGTGTCATTCGAAGATGTGGTTGTCGAATTTACCCAGGACGAATGGCAGTACATGAGCCCTGCTCAGAGGACACTGTACAGAGATGTGATGCTGGAGAACTATAGCCACCTCATCTCAGTGGGTAAGCATACCTTAGTATGTGACTTCCTCTAGGTTACATTTACTTTTTTTTTTAAAGTTAACAAAACACATGGACTCTTTGTAGAGATTAATGTTGTACAGGCTTTTGAGTAAGAGGTCCAAGATAACTGAAGCCTTGAAGGAAACAGAAACAATGTTTATGTTATTACTTTCCATGGAAAACTTCAATTGAGCACATTATTTTGCTTCTCTTGCTGCTGTTAACTTTCTACACCTTTGGAAACCAAAAAGCCAATGGATCTGGTCTGTATTTACCCTCAATTGTCATGTTTACAGGGTATTGCTTGACCAAACCCAAGATGATCTTCAGGTTGGAGCAAGAAGAAGAGCCCTGGTCCTTAGAGGAAGAATTCCTAAACCAGAGGTACCCAGGTGGGTGAGCACTGACAAAAGGAAACACTTGGGGTAGTTCAACTTTTAGGGGAATACCTTCGAAAGTTTGTTTTATCCTTTTAAACAGCTCTATTGAGATAGTTTACATATTGGACAATCCACCCATTTAAAGAGTACAATTCGGTGGCTGTTCATATATTCACAGATACGTGTAAACATAACCACACTCCCATTTTCATCACCTCAAAAAGAAACCTTATACCCTTTAGCTATTGTCTCCCTTCCTCCTGTCCCCTACAGCCTTAGCAATCACTAATCTACTTTCTGTCTCTATAGATATGCCTATTACATTTCATGTAAATGGAATCACACATTATGTGGTCTGTTATGATTGGTTTCTTTCACATAGGATTACAAGATTCATGTGTATCAATATTTCATCCTTTGATTGACAAAATAAGGTCTCATTGTTTGTTCATTCTTCAGTCATTAGATGTTTGGGATTCTACCTTTTGGCTATTATTGAATAATGCTAATAGAAACATTCATTACAAGTTTTTGCATGGATTTATGCTTTTTTTTTGACATGTGTTTTTATTTATTGAGTTATACTTAAGAATGGAATCACTGGGTTTTATGGTAACTATTTCAGGAACCTCCAGACTATTTTTCACAGTGCCTGCACCATTTTTCATTCCTAATGACAGCATATGAGGGTTCTGATTTTTCCACATCTTCACCAATAATTGTTATTATCTGACTTGTAGCCATCCTAGTAAAAGAGAAGTGATGTATTAGTGAAGTTTTGATTTGCATTTCTGTATTAGTCATCTGGCCTGGCATAATAAAATACCATGGTCTGGGTGGTTTAAACAACAGAAATTTTTCATAGTTCTGGAGGCTGGAAGTCCAACATCAAGGTGCCAGCATAGTTAATTTCAGTGAGGCATCTTCCTGGCTTGCAGATGACTGCCTTTTGACTATGCCTTCATATGGCCTTTCCTGTGAACTTGCATGGAGAGAAAGAGAGCTGGGATGTCTCTTCCTATTTTTATAAGGACACCAACCGTATAAGAGTTGGAGCTCTACCATTATGACTTCATTTAGCCTGAATTATTTCTCCAAAGGCCTTATCACCAAATTACATTGAGGGTGAGGGCTTCAACATATGAATTGCAATTCAGTCTATGACAGTTTACCTGTTCACTAGTGATGTCAAGCATTTTTTCATGTGCTTGTTAGTATTTGTGCAAACTAATAAACAATTTCAAGAATGTCAAAAATTATAGTTTCAATATAACTCTTAGAGCAAAAAGGTAAAATCATCCTGAGCGTGTTTACTGAAAGTTTTTGTTGTGAAACTATTAAAACATATTGTGTAACATAAAAATTGACATAATTTTTGGACCATGCATGTTTCCCAGTCACTAAATATAAATGATTTGATCATATTAGTTAGCTAAAAAAGATATTCCTAAATAAGTATCTTTGAAAGATTGTAATAAAAGGATAGTAAAGTTATTAAGTCAAAAATAAAATAGTTTAGGGTTTCATGTTCTCATTCAGGTTTGAATTTAGGCAATAAATGCATAACTTAAAAAAAAACGCCCTCTAGTCAAGAGCACAAGTTATGCATTTGAATGACTACACCAAACAATATCATACCAATTATCATAAAACACAAAATAATGGAGTACTAAGAATTTAAAATTCACCAGGATTAGGAGGTAATAATGTACTTTATCTGATTATATTAGACATGCTATGAACATTAAATAAGTATGCCTATATAAACATAGATGATATTTATATTAAAGGGAACCATATATTTGTACATGTATCCTAAAATCAAAGAACAAGCCTTTCAAGTTCCCATGGATTTATTATAAGATAGTGAAATGCAATATTAGTCTAAAAAAGAAAACCTCAATAAATCCAAATTAGAATCCCATAAATAGTAATCTGAACATATTTTGATAAATCTAGAAATTAATGATAACATGAGTAAAAAAAATATTGATATGGATATTTCAAAGATTACCTCTTTTAAACAACATAAATACAAAAGGATATCAAATCCAAAATTGCATGACATTTATAAAAATAAATATGCATATTATTAACATTAGGATATGTGTAAGTTAATGAACAGAGGTAAATTGGTAGTCTCCTAGTAATAAATTAAGCAAGAACAATAACAAAAATGTACTAATACAAGCAGAATTTAAAAGTGAAATTAAAAATTAATAAACTGGAGGATTGAGAAATTGTATGTTTCTTAGAATAAAAAACAGTAAAATGAATGAAATTTGAGCTAACCCTAACAAAAACAAAAGAAAAGAAGCACTTATGTGATAAATTCAAGATTGTAAAATTTAATGCAATATCAAAGCAAATCTCATTCATAGAAGTGATGTGATAGGATTTGCTCTGTTAGATATGTAAAGCTGTGAGAGTTAAGTAGTATGAAACTGGAGGTGGGATAGTTTAATATAATAGTGAAACAGAAAAGAAAGGTCAAGAAAAACACATATGCTTTATAGATAATTGGTCTTTGACAGGTGGTTCTATTCCCACAGATCAGTGGAGAAAGAATCTTGAGGTAATCTTTTGGATCTACATGAAAAATGGGATTCAGGTGGCTTAAAGTCCTGATTTTCAAAGCAAAACTAGAAATATTCTATATGATAATGAGAATGTGTTCATGACTCTGCTTAGGGAAGAAATTAATAAGATATAAAAAGTATTAACTGGGGGAAAGATGGAGTAATGTATTTTGTTTTACTCTGCCCACTAAGTACAGCAAAATGTATACGTGTGTGTGTATGTGTGTGTGTGTATGTGTACAGACATAAACATAGACCTGTATATATGTATATGTATATGCATATTATATATAAAAGTATATATATATATATATTTGTGTGTTTAGAGAGAGAGAGGGAGAAAGACAGAGACAGAGAGGGAGAGAGGGGAAATGTAACATTCTGATAGATAACAAAACAATGAAGGTGAACTAGGGGCCTTGGCACTTGATAAAATACAGGGTGGTTAGTGTTAGGAAAATGCTGGTAGGGACCCTGATCTCTTACCCTTCTCCATTGTTAATAGAACAGCCCACTCCTCCAACTCCCAAAGGTGTCTGTGGAAGTTTAGTCCACACTTGGCAGTAGTGAAGCTGCACTCCACTTCTTTTGTTGGCATGATTTCAGAAGAGGTTGGCTAAGACTGAACATTAATTTTGATAAGTCCTATTAATTTTTTCTTAAGGATCATGCATTTGTTGTGCTGTCTAGAAGTATCAAAACTCAAAGTAACAGATTTATTCATGTGTTTTCTTCTAGAAATTTTTAAATTTCACATTTTATGTTTTATGATCCACTTGGTGTTAGTTTTCATAGACAGGATGAGTTATGTGTTAAGTTTAAATTTTTGAAAAGGGGAGTCTAGTTATTCTAGCACCATTTTATTGAAAAAATTATCATTTCCTATTGAATAGCATTTCCATTTTTCTTAGAAAATGGATGAACATCTATTTTGTATATGGTACATAAGTATAAATATATGTGTATATTTGTACTTTTATTCTGTACATTTAAGACTATATATTTCTGTGGTATCTCTATTCTTTTTTATTTATCTACATATTTATCCTTCCCCAGTACCACATTAATTTTATTACTCTAGATTCTTAATTAGACCTTGAAGTCAGGTAATGTGAGTCCACCAATTTTCTTCTGTATAAATTTTAAAATGATCTTCTTGGTATTTACAAAAAGCATGCCAGCTATTCAACTGGGATTGTATTGAATTTATAGATCAAAAGAGGATTGATATCTTAACAATATAGATTCTTCCAATCAATAAAGAACATATACATATCCTTTTATTTATGGTTTCTTTGATTCTTTTTATCAGTAGTTTTCAGCAGATACCAAGTATTTTGTTCTTTGTTTTTTTCAGCACTATGGTAAATCATATTCCTTGTCAGATTTAAAATTCCAGTGATAATTGCTTGTATATAATTGGCTTTTGTATATTGGCTTTGCATTTTGCCTTGCTGAAAACAGTTATTAGTTAAGGAGCTCTTTTGAAGATCTTCTTGGGGCTCTCTGGGTAGACTTACTGTGTATCGTTTATTTCTATTCTTGCTTTATTGCATTGGTTGGAACTTCCAGTCTGGAATAGAAGTGCTGAGGGTAGACAGCCTTGTCTTTTTCCAATCTTAGTATTCAGTTTCTTATTCTTAAGTAAGTCTCTTATTCTTAAGTATGATATTAGCTACAGGCTTTCTGTATATTCCCTTTATAATAGGTTAATGGATGGAATTTGAATTTTGTAAAATATTTTTTCCCTTAAATGATGTGATTTGTCTTCATTCTTTAGATGATTAAGATGGTGGATTACATTGATTGACTTTTAAATATTGCAATAGTTTGTATTCTTGGGATGAACCCCCACTTGATCCTGATAAATCATTTCTTTTCATATATAGTTCTTTTTGATGCTTTTTTTTGAGGATTTTTACATTTATGTCATGAGGGATATTGGTCTGTATGTTTCTCTTCTTGTGTTTTCTAGAAGAAATTATGTAAAATTGGTATATTATTATTATTATTATTATTATTATTATTTTTAATGTTTGGCAGAGTTCACTAGTTACTACCATCTGATCCTGGAGCAGTTTCTTGGAACTACATCTTTGTCGATCACATATTCAGTTTCTCAGATGCTGACCTATTGTGTTACCTCTTCCTTCATGAGTTAATTTGGTAGTTTTTTCAAATGAAATTTGTCCATTTCACTTAAATTGTCAAACTTATGGGCATAGAGTTTCCCCTAATATTCTTTTACTGTCTTTTTAGTATCGTATCAGTATTTATGTCCCCTCTTGCATTTTTTTCTGTTATTAATACTGTGTGTCTTCTCTTTTTTCTTCTTGGTTTTAGCACTTAAAAAAAATCTTCAATGAACTAAGCTTTGGTTTCATTTTTTTCTCTGCTTTCCATTTTCATTTTCATTGTCGTCTTTAGTCTTTATTATTTTCTTTTTTTCTTTCTTTAGATTTAATTTGTTCTCTTTGTCAAGTTTGTTAAAGTAGAAGCTTAGGTGACTGATTAGAGGTCTTTCTTTTCTAATATAAAAGATTGTAAGCTATGAATTTATCTCTGAGAACTACTTTAGCTGCATCCCACAAATTTGTATATGTTCTAAACAGTTTTTGTTTTCATTCAATTCTAAATATCTTAATTTCTTGGGAGATTTTCTCTTTGACTAATGGATTAATTGGAAGTATATTAACTTACAAATATTTTGTGTCTCTCCAGGTAACTTTGTGTTAATCATTTCTAGTATAATTTCTCTGTGGCTTGAGATTATACTTTATACAACTTCTGTTCTTTTATATTTGTAAAGATTTTTCTTGTAGTCCATGATGTGGTCTGCCTTGATGAATATTTTATGTATATTTAAGAATAATATGAATTAAGCTATTTTTAAAATGTTCTTGGGTTTTGAGAGTATAGTTATTCCAAATGCTGCTGCATCCCTTCTAGCTATAATATTGTATTCCTGCCTCTTTTCCCTTTTTTCCTTCCCCTACCTGCTGTGTTGCCACAAGTACCCTAAAACAGATTTATTTCTTTTGCAGATTCCATAAAGTAGATAGGAATGTGGTTTTAGGAATAGTTGCGGTAGTGATTGTTGTTACCATCCCTGAATGTCCTATGAATAGAACTTGCTTAGGATTCTTCATGATCTTTCCACTAAGCTCTTGGTTTGGCTCATGGAAAGAAATTTTGCAAGTGTCCAGTCCTTTATACCTGTGGCAATGGAACTTTCATTTCCTGTTAAACCTATCTAGAACCACAGGGAAATATTCCATTTTTGTTAGGCTTGAGTAGGGTGCATATTGTCAAAAAGATTTTCTGTTCTGTTAGACTATCTTTATTTCAGACTTTTGGCCAGAAGGAATAGGGTTTTCTTGTAGCTCTTTTTGTCTGTGTGTTGTTGACTTTGGATTACAGGCTTCTCCAACACTCCAGTACCCCATAGAAGAATTATGGGAAACAGAAAAGCCTTGAAATCCTCTGCCATGTCATTTCTTGAGTCCCAAAGTTCCACATTCCATTTTGTAGCATCTTACTTACTTTTTTATTTATTACTGATTGATTTATTGATTTTCCAGGGATATTTTAATTGTAAGAGGGAGGACTTAGGAAGATAGCTACTCCATCTTGGCCAGCTCTGGAAATAATACCTGTTTTCTTTAAATAACATGGATGAAGAGAGAGAGAGTATATTTCTTTTTCTCTATGTGTATGAATTACTAATCTCTGGGAATGTGACCTGTAACAGTAGATTACAATACATAACAAACATATGGCTATAAATTCCTTTCCATAAGAAATGTAAGATACAGAGATGTTTTCGATTTTTCTCATTTTAGGATATTTCAGCATTGATATTCACATTGAGGGGAACCAGGAAAAACAAGAGAAACCTCTGTGGCAAGTAATATTCACTAATAACAAAACATTGAGTAAGGAAGAGCAGAAAGTCTTAGAAAAACCGTTTAATCTGGATATAACTCCAAATTCTGCAGGAAATATGCCTTGTAAATATGACTCATGTAGAATGAATTTGCCAGTTGTTTCTGAATTAATTATTTGTGATAGAAACTATTCAAGAAAGAAGGCTGATTACATGGATGTATGCAAAAAATTGAAGCTTGATACTAAGCATGAGAAAACTTACACTGGAGAGAAGTCTTACAGATATAATAAAAATGTAAAACCTCTCAGTTATTGGAAAAATCATCAGAAACTTCAAACCCTGGAACAATCTTTTGAATGTAATGAATTTGGGAAAATTTTACATGATAAGACTATTTGTGTTATAGGAGAGGAATCCTATAAGGGTGATGAATTTAGGAAAAACTGTGATAACTACATGAGAACTGGCACAAAAGAGAAATGCTTTCATCTTAATGAATGTAGGAAATCCAAAACCACTATTGAGAATTACAATAAAGTTCACATGGCTGTGGCACACTATGAATGTAATGAAAGTGGGAATAACTTCAGCAGTATCTCATCTCTCACTCAATCTCAGAGAACTGCTACAGAACAGACTAGTTTTGCAAGCAATAAGTGTGAAGAAAACTTGAGCCAGAGCTCAGCCCATATAGTACAAAAAAAGACACAAACTAGAGATGAATTTTGTGTGTATAATGGATGTATAAATACCTTCTACCAGAAATTAGACCTTATAGTATGTCAGAGAACTCACACAGAAGAGGAATTGTACCAGCGTGGTAAATACAGGAGGTCCTTCCATCAGAACTTAGCCCTTAGTGTACATCAGCAAAGTGAAACTGGAGAGAAGTCATTTGAATGTAATGAATGCAAGAAATCCTTTTACCAGAAAGTACAACTCATTCATCATCAGAGGACCCATCCAGGGGAGAGACCTGAGGAATGTGGGGAATCTTTTTGTTCAAATTCACACCCTGTTCATTATCCTGGAACTGATATAGGGGTCAGTCTCTATGAATGTAGTAAATGTGAGAAAACTTTCTGTCAGAAGTTAAACCTCAGTGAAAATCGGACAGTTCACACAAAGGAGAAACCTTATGATAATAGTGGATGTGGGAAATCTTACAAGAAGTCTGCTCTCGTAGTATGCCAAAGAACACACACAGGGATGAAGCTCTGTCAAAGTAATGTATATGGAAAAACATTCTCCAAGATGTCACATATCAGAGAACATCAGAGAATTCACACAAGGGAGAAATCCTACAAATGTATTGAATGTGGCAAAGCTTTCTCTAAGACATCACATCTCAGAACACATCAGAGAATTCACACAGGTGAAAAACCCTACAAATGTGTTGAATGTGGGAAAACTTTCTCTAATAAGACACACCTTAGTGCACATCAGAGAATTCATACCGGGGAGAAACCCTATGAATGTAATGGATGTGGGAAAACTTTTGCTGATAATTCAACCCTCAGAGCACATCAAAGAATTCACACAGGGGAGAAACCCTATGAGTGTAATGAATGTGGGAGGCCTTTTACCCATATATCTGTTCTCAGAGCACATCAGAGAATTCATACCGGTGAGAAACCCTATGAATGTAATGACTGTGGGAGATCTTTTGCCCATAATTCAGCCCTTAGAGCACATCAGAGAATTCACACAGGAGAAAAACCCTATGAGTGTAGTGACTGTGAAAAAACTTTTGCCCATAATTCAGCTCTCAAAGTACATCAGAGAATTCACACAGGAGAGAAACCATATGAATGTAATGAATGTGCAAAAACTTTTGCCCATAATTCAGCCCTCAGAGCACATCAGAAAATGCACACAGGGGAGAAACTCTATGAATGTAATGAATGTGGGAAAACTTTTTCACAGAAGACACACCTCAGTACACATCAGAGAATTCACACAGGTGAGAAACCTTATGAATGTAGTGAATGTGGGAAAACCTTCTCTCAGAAATCATACCTCAGTGGACATGAAAGAATTCACAAAGGGGAAAAACCTTATAAATGTAATGAATGTGGGAAAACATTTGTTTATAAGGCAGCTCTCATTGTCCATCAAAGAATTCACACAGGAGAGAAACCCTATGAATGTAATGAATGTGGGAAAACTTTCTCCCAAAGGACACACCTCTGTGCACATCAGAGAATCCACACAGGGGAGAAACCTTATGAATGCAATGAATGTGGGAAAACTTTTGCTGATAATTCAGCCCTCAGGATACATCAGAGAATTCACACAGGGGAGAAACCCTATGAGTGTAGTGAATGTGGGAAAACTTTCTCCAAGACATCACACCTCAGAGCACATTTGAGGACTCAAACAGGGGAGAAACCCTATGAATGTAATGAATGTGGGAAAACTTTTTCCCAGAAGTCATATGTTACTGCACATCAGAGAATTCATACAGGTGAGAAACCCTTTGAATGTAATATATGTGGGAAACCTTTTGCCCATAATTCAACTCTCAGAGTACATCAGAGAATTCACACAGGTGTAAAATCCTATGAATGTAATGAATGTGGGAAGACTTTCTCCCAGAAGTCACACCTAAGTGCACACCAGAGAATTCACACAGGGGAGAAACCCTATGACTGTAATGAATGTGGGAAAGCTTTTGCACAAAATTCAACTCTCCGAGTACACCAGAGAATTCACACAGGAGAGAAACCCTATGAATGTAATGAATGCAGAAAAACTTTTGTCCGTAAGGCAGCTCTTAGAGTACATCACACCAGAATGCACACCAGAGAGGAAACCCTTACATGTAGTGAATTTGGGAAGTCCTAATGGGACTCAGATCTTATTGGATAACATATATTAAAGAAGCTTATGTCACATAGACTGGCAAATTGTTTCCTTTTCCACTAGGCACATACATAGCTTGTCTAATTTAACAATCTGTCCTTCATTCAAGTGATGCTGGTCATGGAATATGACACTATTACATTTAATCTAAGTCTAACCTTCAGAAGTCACCTTACATTCTTTCTGTCTTATACTGTATAGAGATATTTCCAGGGCAGACTTCAGTGCCATGTATTAAATATGGTAGAACATAAGGTGAAAGAAGCCAAATCTGAATAACTGGGTGAAACAACATCTCCACTAACATCTTCACAAGTTGGCTTAAAAGAAAAACATCAAATTGTACTCTGTTGAGCTTTTACAGATTTTGTTCTATTGGTTAAACACACATAGCTTAGATAATTCTGTTATGGTGGGACAAAACCCTATGAATATAAATGTCAGGAAGACCTATAAAATTCAGCCTGTCACTATGTATCAGAGATTTCATATGAGGAGAAAAGCTGTCAACATCTTGAGTGATCAGAAGCCTTCATTAAAAATTAGAGAAATCTCAGGGAAAAACACAAAAGCCTTTACTAGATGTTAAACATCAAATAATTAAGATTTGACCAAAATCTTATAATTTGATAATTTATATTTTAATGAATATTGAACAGTTGTTTCAGATTTTTTTCCTGAGGAAATGTATCAGTTTCAGAATTGAAGATAAAATCTTCACCTAGAACTGTTGTACCTAAATTTGTGATTTATATATAACTTCAAGTTTTATAGAAAACATATAATAAAATATTCACCTGTACAGAAACTCACTGTGGAATGTGAAGTTTTAAAGATGGAGGAATAACTTAAATTCTGTGTACAACCCCAATAAATGTTTGTGGCTAGTCTCTGAGCTATGTGGTACATCTGTATTAGTTTGTGTAATAATTCATTATTGGTTATGAGTTCTAGTAGAAGACAGCAACCAAACCTCCTCTGGACCTAATCCATTTTCCTTTTTGATTTATAATTTATGTTCTTCTGTTGGCTTCCTTCAGCTTGATGCTGTTGATGCTGTGAGGTTTTGGCCTGCCTGCTAGTGTGGCCCTGTTTTTCTAGGATATTGGAGATCCATAAGATTTCCTAAGTATCCTCGTGTATCTGGATGGGTGAGTGGGCTGAATGTTGATTCTTACATGGTTTTTTGGCCTTCGTTAAATCGCACAAGTGGCTTATTTTGCACTGTGTAATTATAAAGGAAATCATCTCCTCATCCCTCTTGTATGCATGTAGCCTGGGCATCTCATGTAGGCTCGTTTTCCGACCTCATAATGTATGCTCACACTGCAGCATTGCAAACCAGTGTTATTTCTGTCCTGCTTGGACAGTAGGTTTTGGAATTGGAATGAAAAAGGCTACTTTCATGTCATAAGTATCACACTGATATTGAAAAACAGACTAACTTGAGAACAGGTATTTTTTTGACAGTGGGTGGTTACCACCCAGCGGCATCACTACCAAAGAAAGCCATTGGATGAAGGCTGTATCATCATAGTACCAGGGCTACTACACCAGCCACTGAATCAGCACTCCTTGTGACAAGGAAGTTCCAGCAGCTAAGAAAATGTTTGCTCTTCCTCAGTCTCTGTGCTTTTCCTCAGTCTCTGACACCTTGATGCAACTTGAGCTTATTGCACAATGTTCAAAGGGAAATGAAAGAAAAAAACATCTCTTTCCACATGTCTGATTTTTTCAGAAAACTGTATGAAAAGGAAATTATCAAATCTTGAATACATTAAAAAAATTAACTTCAGTTTAGAATAGTGTTAGATTTAAATAATTACCAATACTAGGTCCTATATACCCACCCGGTTCCTCTTATTAACATCTTTTATTACTCTGGTATATTTGTCTTAACTAAATAATGACACTGATACATTATTAACTAAACATCATTTTTCAGATTGCACTGTTTTTTCTTAATTTTTTTTTATATTTCAAGATGCCATTCAGGATACCACATTACATTTAATAGTCATGTCTCCTTATCTTCCACTAGTCTGTGACAATTTTTTAGACCTTCCATGTGTCAGTTACCTTGACAGTTTTGAGAAGGACTTGTCAAGTATTTTATAGAATACCACTCGATTTGGATTTCTTATATCTTTTTTTTTTTTTAATGATTGCACTGGCACTACAGATTTGTTTTGTGTGTTCATTTTATTTTGTAGGAAGATCACAGAGATAAAATGCTATTCTTACCATATTAATAGTATATGCTATCAACATGAATAATCACTGACAATGCTAAGCTTGATCACCTGGTTTAGGTTGTATCCCTCAAAATTGTGTAGGTGAGCACTATGCTACTTGGTAAAAAATTATTTTATCTTATTTAGTTTATATTGTACACAAACTAATATCAGAATCCTTTTTATATATTTCTGATTTTAATGTTGGAAACTATAAATACAGATAGGTAAAAATTATAACACCAAGAATTTAAAAACTTCACACTGATCCAGTATATAGTCCAAAATTTGTGTTTTTAGTGTTTATTGGAATATGAATGAATCATTGCCCTTTGACCCCAAGGATTTAATTTCAGAATTTTATTTTCATACATCATCATCAGAGTAGTGCCCAATTCTTCTAAACTATTTAATTGCTAAAGCTTGGACTTTGAGTAATGAAAAGACTGAAAGAAAGTTTGTGTTTCATGAGCTTATCAACCCAGATCATTGCATTAACCCAGATAACAATAGGAGATATGAACAATGACCAGCCATCATAACTAAGAAATCTGATAATAGGAGAAATAAGTAAAACTTAGAAAGGTGGAGTATTAAAAGCTTTTAGCTTGTATAGGGTCTTTCAAAAGCATTGATAAATTGGATGGTACTAGTCAGAAGATTTAAAAGGAATGGGTGTGTTATCATTAGAAAGCTAAGTTTAGAAATATATGCTAAAGCCATAGGTAGATGACATAGATCTATAAAGATGAAGGAGCAGGTTACACCCAGATAATAACTAAACAATGGAAGGATCATAGAGAAGCAAGAGCTACTAGTGAAGCAAGAACACATGGGCATATGTTACTGCACACATATAATGCATATTGTCCAACATAAGTGTGAATGAAAATCTAATAGGAATTCTTATAAAACCAACACTTCTGGGAGAAAACTATGCTGATTGGAGTACATGTGGAAAACAGTTTTGTTGATAAACACGTTCTCAAAACAGGCATATGCCTCTGATAGAAGATAGTAATGCAATAGCACAGGTAGAATGTAATTATGTCCCTATTGAGATAAACAAGAATAAGACACTTACTACACTACTTTGGAATCCAGAAAAGATTGTTGATGGCCAGAGTGCAGTAAATCCAAGAGAAATAGATCAGAAACCAGCAAGAACAGTGAGAAAGTTGTTAGCATAGAAAATAAGGCAACAAAACACTAAATAAACAACATAAAAAAAATTATACATGACTTGTGACCAGACAAGAGAAAGAAAAAAGTTACACATTGAAAAATGAACACAGAGTCTAAAATGACAATACTGCCACATTGCCAGAAAATGTAGTGCACTAACAATGACAGTTAAACAGGATTAAAGTGCTGAAGAAGACTCATAGGACCCAAACTGACAATGCTGACAAGTGTGCAATTTATTAAGGGAAAGGGACGCAATATAGCATGTCATTATTTGCATCACAGCCAAAGGCTGCTTCATACCACAAGGTTTGGATAATGGCCAGGCATCAGCTCCCATTTTCCTCCATTGTATGAACACAATTTCACTGCCAGAAAAGAGCCATGTGCACAGAATCACTCAGAAGCTCAAAATGGATTTACTGCTGAGGTTTCTTTCCCCTGCCAGATATGTAGGCATATTCTTGCTATGTAATCAGCCCCAAAAGCAGAGGACTCTGAAGGTCTCAGTGAAAACAGGTATAAATCATCAATCATACTGTTATTAATAAACACTGTTGATAAGTTGTTAAAATCTGCCTCCAAACATTTTGGACTGCTGGTTACAAAGAAACATTGTTAATATATTTCATTCCTTAAACAACAGATAATGATGTGCAGATACCTTAGCTCAGGACTATTCTGGGTCTGCAGGACTTAACCCTCACAGCTAAGTCCACCATTCTGATTTTGGGTCAAAGCCTTTTATAACAAGAGTAAAAACAACAACAAAATTCATTCTTAGTTTGATAGCAATCATGTAGATGTGTCTTTCAATAGCATATAATCAAATAGATAATCAAAACACATATACATATTTCAAAGAGTTGTAATAATCAGGGAGGGTTTGTACCATTTAAACCATCCTATAATGCAGCACAAATTGTCTTATATTTTTATATTTTTCCCTTTTGTTTGCCTCCCTGATCTATAGCTATCTGTGCTTTTTGGTATACATCTATTGAATAATTAAGAACCCTAGTCAATCTATCATCACTTAAGTCTAAATCTGTAGGCCAATTCTGTTTCATAGAGTAGTATTCTGTGAAATGAAAACCATAAGAGACAGACACATTAGTATTATTCCACACAGTCATTGTCTGAGCTCTGGTCTATTTGTTGATTAGGAGTACATAAAACCATCCTGGAAGTATGTTTATTAAATTAGCCATTGTACAGCTCCCTCGTTTTTTTTTTATTAAAAAAATTTTTTAATGTTTATTTATTTTTGAGAAACAGCATGAGCGGGAGAGGGCAGAGAGAGAGAGGGAGACCTAGAATCTGAAGCAGGCTCCAGGCTCTGAGCTGTCAGCACAGAGCCCAACACGCTCGAACCCACGAACCGTGAGATCATGACCTGAGCCAAAGTCGGAAGCTCAACTGACTGAGCTACCCAGGCGCCCCAGCTCCCTCGTTTTTTAGAAGAAGAATTTTGGTAGTCTTTGTCCCAAGGGACATCTAAATCTAAGCTAAAAGAGCATATCATTCACTTGTTCTGAACTTTTCAAAAGGCACCAGAGTGAT